ATGGCACTATCTCGACTCACCACAATCTCCACCTCCTGGGTTCAAGCGATTCTCCTTCCTCAGCCTCCCAAGTAGCTGGGATTACAGGCAGGTGCCACCACACCCAGCTACTATTGTATTTTTAGTAGAGGCAGAGTTTCTCCATGTTGGTCAGGCTGGTCTTGAACTCCTGACCTCAGGTGATCCCCCTGCCTCAGCCTCCCAAAGTTCTGGGATTACAGGCATGAGCCGCCACACCTGGCCAAAAAATGTAAGTTTTGTGGGTTTTTTTTGAAATGGAGTCTCACTTTGTCACCCAGGCTGGAGTGCAATGGCATGATGATGGCTCACTGCAACCTTGACCTCCTGGGCTCAGGAGATCTGCTCACCTCTGCCTCGCAAGTAGCTGAGACAACAGGCTCATGACACTATACCCAGCTAATTTTTTGTATTTTTGGTAGAGAGGTGGTTTCACCATGTTTCCAAGGCTGGTCTCAACCTTATGAGCTCAAGCAGTTTGCCCTCTGTGGCCTCCCAAAGTGCTGGGATTATAGGCATGAGGCACCACACCCAGGCCGATATGTATTTTATACTTTGAGTTATAATACAATATTACTTTATTATTGTTCATATTGTTTGTTCTAACTATGAAAAAGTCTGGCAACTTCCCAGAAGGTTAAACATAGTTACCCTATGACCCAGAAATTTCACTGGTAGGTGTATACCAAGAGAAATGAAAATATGTGTCAAAAGACTCATACACAAATGTTCATAGCAAAGTTATTCATATAGCCCAAAATGGAAACAACCCTAATGCCTGTCAACCGATGAATGGGTAAACAAAATGTGGTATTTCCATTCAATGGAATATTATTTGGCCATTAAAAGGAATGAAGTACTGACACATACTATAACATGGTTAAACCTTGAAAACATGGTGAGTGAAAGATGCCAGTCACAAGGGCCCACATACTGCTGATCCCATGTATCTTAAACGTTTGAAAAGGCCACTCTATAAGAGACAGAAATGAGAGCAGTGGTTGCCCAGGGCTTAGTGAGGTGGGGGGCAGGTATTGGGAGGAAATGGAAGGATTGGCTGGGGGCAGTGGGAATGTGGAGCTAACGGGCATGGACTTTCCTTTGGAGGGATGAAAATATTCCGTAATTGATTATTGTCATGGTGGCAGAACTCAGTGAATACTGTGAATATGCTACAAACTACTGCATTGTACACTTTTAGTAAGCTATAGTATTTGAATTGTATCTTAATAAATCTGATGCACATAACATTTACTTTGGTAATCTAAGGATACCCAAAAAAGACAGGCATTTGTGCTCCAGAGTACCTGCAATTCAGTTAGAGATCTGTGTGGCTGCCATATGTATTAAGATGTTGAGGACAGAGAAAACTGGTTTCAAATATGAGCCCCCCAAAACCATCAGAGCAATCACCTCAGTTTGCTGGCATTGATTTGTATTACATGTAGGCAAGTCCATGTGGCTTCAAGGTCAGTAGCTGTGTGGATGCATTTCTTTATTGAAGATTAATGATTTTCATAAGCAATGCTGGGCATGAAAGCAACTAATGCAAATTAAAGCTCAAGTGTTCCCTAACTCATTGAATGGTGCGTCATTCTTCTAGTTGCCAAGCCAGACATCTAGGAGTTATCCTCAGCACCTCCCTCACTCCCACTTCTAATCTATCACCAAGTACTATCAATTTGACCTCCCAAGTGTCTCTCAAATTCATCTACTTCCTCCTATCTTTCACCGTCAATAACTTAGTGAACTCAGGAATCTTTTAACTGGTCTCGCATCTACTCTTACTTCCTTCTTTCCTTTATTTGCCCAGCAACCAAGGTGATCTTTTATGTTTTTTAGTATTCGTGACCTTTTGAAATCCTCTTTAGTAGTTTCCCCATTGCTCTTAAAGACCAAACTCCTGAATATGGTCTACAAGGCCCTGCTAACCTATCTGTCCTCATCTCGAGCCACTCTTTCCCTCACACTCTGCACTGTCAGCCACACTTTACGAGACCACAAATTACCATATCTTCTAGGCAGGTATGATGGTCTCTTTTCCCTGGCCTTCATTATTGACCACTACCTCCTTATTGAAATTCTCTTCCTTTGTCCTTTATTTTCTTGCCACTCCTCTGCATTCTTTTTCCCTCTTACCACCCAACTGTGAACATTTCCAATATTCTCTGCTCTTTGCTATTCTGTGTTCCATACTCTGTCCTTTAAGTGAATTAATACACTTTATTACCTGAGTTCCAGTCTATATCTGCAACAGCCTGCTTACCTCCAGAGCTACCTCAAGCCAACATGTTTAAATAGAACTTATTGTTACCTTTATTCCTTATCCCAGAAATTTTTCTTTCAATGATACCAGCATTCTTTCAGCCATTCAAACTACATACCTTAGAGCCATTTTCACTTGACCTTTCATTCCCCATATCAAATCAGTTACCAAGTTCTATTGATTCTTTCTTCAAATGATTGTTACATCTTTCCATCTCCATTGTTACTATTTTCATTCTGACCCTCATCACTTCATTCTTAGACTCACACAACTCCCTTTAAGCAAGTCTCCCTGTCTGTGTTTTCCCACACTCATGTCTGTTCTAAACACCACTGGCATTTCTATCTCATTAAAACTACTTTTATCGTATCACTCTCCTTCTCCAAAAGTTTCATTGCCTTCCCATTGCCAGGAGGATAAATTTCAAAATCTGAAGCCTATAATGCAAAAACCCTTAACACTCCAGCTCACAAGATGTTAGCAAACATTCCACATACCCTGGATTAGACAAAGTTCCACGGTTTCTTTACTGTAAAACTTCCTTAAACTTTCAGTGAACTAATGTACATTATAATGCTCCAAAAGGGTGATAAATAGAATGCAGCATTTCCAAAATGTATTTGACTAAAGAACTCTATTTTCATAGACCATCTGTTAACATTTCTCATGACACTAGTGTTCTAAGGGAGAATATTGAGGAAAGGCTCAGGAAGCCCCATCCTACATTTCCAGTCTTATTTCCCATTAACTCCTCTACATAAATTGCTTAGGCCAAACAACTCTTGGTCTTCCTAAGACGTGCTTGTTCTCAAGTACAATCCAAGTCTTCATTTATTCTGTTCTACCCATGTGGAATGCCCTTCTCTTTCTCTGAATATCTATATTTTTCTTTTTATTGAGATTTAGTTCATATATCATAAAACTCACCTCTTTAAGGTATACAGCTCAGTGGGTTTTAGTATATTTACAAGATTGTGCAACCATCACCATTATTTAATTCTAGAACATTTTCATCATCCCCAAAAGAAACTCTATACCCATTAGCAGTCCCTCCCCATACCTCCCTTCCCCAGCCCCTGGCAACCACAAATCTCCTTTCTGTCTCTATGGCTTTGCCTATTCTGGACATTTCATATAATCTCTGTATATGTAGATCGTACTCATCTACCCTAAGATCATGTATGTTTGTTCAGTCATTTTTTTTCATTCATAACATTAAGATCACAACACTCATACCCTGTATCAGACACTGGCCAAGCTGTGAACATACAAAGGCAAATGCCATTTTACCTTCAAGGGGCTCCCTGCCTAGTCGGGGAGACAGGCAGTAGAGTGTTCAAAGTACTATTATGGTGCTGTGAACAAATTGCCAGAGGGGCCAAGAGGTTTGAGCAAGAAATTATAGAGAGCCAGGGAAATCCTCACTGAGGAGGTGGCATCTGACTGGATATTGATTCATTTGTTCATTCATTCATTGATTCAGCAAACATCTGTTGTACTTCTCTTATGTTCCAGGCACGGTGCTGGACTCTGAAGATATAAAAATGCACAAGAAAAGTTCCCTGTACCTCAAGGAACTCAGTAGTCTGGAGGAGATAAATATATAGCATTTCAAAACAGTATGATATAAGTTATATAGAGGAAGGGAAGGCTCACTGTGGGAACAGAGAGCTAAGTCTGCTTGTGAATTTGAAGAAAAAGTAGAAGTCTGTGAAGTGGACAAGGATGAGGGGTAGTGTTTCAGGCAGAGACTAGACCGCCTCTGACTGTGATATCCTAGTGCCCATTTCTTTTCCTGAACAAGACCACCTAATGTTTGTGTCTCTTAATCACAAAACTTGTGAAGTCATCTTTACATGTGGATGCCTCGTGTCCGCAAAAGCATTACACAACCTTTAGGGTAAAAGTTTTGTCTTTTCCCTCTTAGTGCCCTCATTATCACAGTGTTTTATGTATGGTAATTTCTTTTTGGATCCAAATGAATGAAAGGATGACAGCTGAGACAGCATCCTCCACACTCGAAAAAGCTGCTGCCCAATGTGTCTCCTATCACATTTCTCCCTTCTGGGGCTTTAACATGAACGCTTTGTGTTCCATCTCCTATACAAGAATGGAGAAAGTAGGACTGATACTTTTCACTATTGCAAAGTATTGTGAAGAAGCGAATATAGTCTTGTGATTAGTCATGTTAAAGATCACTGATAAGGCTAAGGGACCATCTTAGAAATGTGTGCTGTGTTCATAGCGAGGGAGATATTGTTAACTCTGAAGATGAATATAATTTCTCCTCCAAATATGGACTAATTCTGGTGACAGAAATTAAGAAATTCAATAAAACTGCTTCTTGACAACCTTCTCTAAAAAGTAGAGGTAGATATCAAGGAGGTAATTTACTGAAGACAGAATCAAGGGAAGCCCCAGACAGGACACAGGTTTTTCTCCTGCTTCAGGGAGACTAGGAATCTGTCTTTCTAATTCTTTCCTTCAGTCAGAGGGGACCTAGGTTTATGTCTCTTCATGAGATCTTGCTATGGAACATTCTGCAGCTGACAAATCTTCAAGGTGCTCTCCTCCTATGCTTTCTAGGAGGACAGATCTTCCTAAATGTCAGCAGAGCTCACATTGTTTAGTAATAATGGGACATAGTGTGGATACAGGCAGTGCTACAATGAACTGTGACAGTAATAACTGCAAAATTTCTGTCCTTGGATTTCAGAAAGACTACCCAGAAGTGGAGATTCTCTGGCTGATGATCAAGTCCTGGAATACTGGAATACTTATGTTTAGCAAGAGCAAGTATGTATCTGCTGAAAAGTGGTGTGGACTGGCCTTGCGTTTTCTTGACCACCTTACCTCCTTCAAGGGAAACTATGAAACTCAGGTGAGGAGGGAGAGGGCTAGGGTGGATGACATGACCTGGGGGCAAGAGGTTACTACTGGGCTCTCCAAGAGGACTCAACCCCATCCTCTTTGGCTAGGAGCAAAAACAAAGAAGGACAGAGTACAGGGGGAAACGTAAGGATAGCAAATGGAATCTAATTAAGAGGAATGCCAAGAGTGAGCTCTGGAAAGATTCATCACTGTCAGTCCCAGTGCATGTGGAGAAGGACTGGCCTCTGCTCAAAACAATGACTGTTGGAAAGGTGTTTTTTCCAGGAACTATATTCTCAGTTGCAGATTTCTGGGCCATTGGCTAACCAGGATAGGTTTGGTGGAGAAAAAGCCTTGCTACAAAATAAGCAAAGGACCCTTCATATTTAAGTATCTTCTCCCTTATAATAGAGGATTCCTGTCCTCAAGGCTAATTTTTCCTCAGGAGAGGGACTGTATGTTCTCCCCAAATCTGAGATCCCTTAGATCTCTGAAGGTAAGGGTTAGACTTTCCCTGCCATCACCATGGGTCTTGGAAGCTTTCCCCATTTCCTTTTCCCCTCCAGAAATCTATTTGTTGTTCTCTTTTCCAGATGAATATGCTATATAGTCAGCTTGTGGAGGCACTGAATAGCAACAAGGCCCAGGTTTCATGAACATGGCTACTGGAGCAAGACAGATTAGGCGAGCTCACAGCCACATGAAGTATATTGTTCTGAGATGCTGACTATTTAAATTTTTGCCAGAGTTTCTCTTGACTTTTGTTTCTGTTTTCTCAGACCCTGTTTGCATGTTGTTGAATAAGTTTAAATGAAGCATACTGAATTCACCTTGGTGAACCAGCTCATTTCTGGGGCACAAATGAATTTTCCAAAGTGCTAAGGATGATAGCGAAATAGACCATGTGAGAGCAAGATGGTTATACTCCATGTGAACAAAAGAGAATGTTCATCTCAGTCCAACACAGGATCATTTTATTCCAAAGTGCTCAAATTCCCAATCCTTGAAAATAAAGAATCCTAGACTCTTCTTTGGAAAGTCCTTAGTGGTCACCAGGGCCAAGCATTTATCTGATTCATGAAATCTCTAACATCCTTGAGAATTCATTGCCCAGTTTCTATAGAACTTATCCCAGGCCAGGCATGGTGGCTCATGCCAGTAATCCTAGTGCTTTGGGAGGCCAAGGTGGGCAGATCACTTGAGGCCAGGGGTTAAAGACCAGCCTGGCCAAACATAGCAAAAACCCCATCTCTACTAAAAATACAAAAAAAAAATAGCTAGGCCTGGCAGTGCGTGCCTATAGTCCTAGCTACTAAGTTGCAGTGAGCCTGAGATCGAGCCCCACTATACTCCAGCCTAGGGGACAGAGCAAGACTCCATCTCAAAAAAAAAAACAAAGAACTTACCCATGATGGGAACTCCTGAGATAGCTTAACCCACCTATTTTTGCTCTCTAATTGGTAAAAAGTCCTTCCTTCCTCATGCTAAACAGAAGTCTGTCTCCCCGTAACAAATCTGCTTCCTGTGCCACAGATGCCCCTTGGAGATATCTCTGAAGACAGAAGCCAGGCCCATCTCTGTCCTCCAGGCTTTTTCTCCTTCAGGGTAAACATCCTCAGACCCCTTAGTTGTTCCTCATGTGATCTGGTCTCCTCACCTTCCAAAAGCCAAGTACCGTGTTCCAGTGAGGTCTGACCCATACAGTTGAGCAGCCTCTTTCTGGCTAGAGTGGCATTAATGTACCATAAGATTACACTACCTTTTTCTGCCAGTTGATTTGTATTAACATTGAAAAATTTTTGATTTTGATATAGTTTCAGACTTAAGAAAAGTTGTAAGCAAGTACAAAGAATTGACATACACCCTTTATCCAGCTTCCCTGTTTATTTTTCTGCCACATTGCCTTCCTGTCACTCTCTGTTTGTTTCTGAACCAGTTGAGATTAATTTGCAGATATCCTGCCCAATTTCCACTTAATGCCTCAGTGAGTATTTCATAAAAAAAGGGTTACTCTCCTACATAACGGCAGTACAACCATCAAAATTAGGAAATTAACAACGATTCAATTCTACCATCTAATCCACAGACCCCATTCAAATTTCATTGATTATCCTAGTAAAGTCCTTCCTAAGTTCAGGATCATAAGCTGTATTTAGTTGTCATGTCTCTGCCATCTGCAAACTGAAATGCTTCCTCTATCTTTCCTTATTTTTTATGACCTTGACATTTTTGAAGAGTACAGGCCTTTGTACCATGCAATCAGTTTAGGTGGATCAGATGTTTTCCAATGATTACATTCAGTTTATGTATTTTTGGGAGGCATACCACAAAAAATGATGTGTTCTCAGCCGTCATCCCAGCAAGCCCACAATGTCAATTTGCCCTGTTCTAACTAAAGTCAAGAAGGTATCTGCCAGGTCTCTCCAATGTAAAGTTAATCGACAAACATTTTGTACTTAGTGGTTAATAATCATGAAGTACTTGGAGGAAGATAGTTTGAGAGTAAGTAAATATGTTCCTCATTACACTTTCGCCGCTAATTTTAGCACCCATTAGTGATTCTTGCCTGAACACTTGTACTGTGATGGTTGCTAAATGTTGATTTTTCTGCTTCCATCACTTCCTCATTTATTAGTTGGCATTGGTAAAGTAGAGGTTTTTCTTTCCCATTTATTGATTCATATTTTTAAAATACATTTTAGTACAAACTAATGGATTTCTATTTTATTCAATGGTTATGTCACTATTATCATTATTTATTTTGCTGCCCAAAACTGGGTCCTACCCCCATTTGACATGTCCCCATCATTCTTGCAGCACTTCCTTATTTTGTGACACAGTAAGATGTTCCAGGGCTCATCTTGTACTTTCCCTGTGCCAGACCCATAATTAGTCATTTGTCCAAGGAGCCCTGTTGCCTTAGAACAGCGGGATAGTGTCCATGATCTGGGTCCTAGAGGTGTACTCATTGTTACGTGGGTGACATTATTTTTAGGTCCTCTCAGTGGACAGAACTGGGAAATAAATGTGTGTATGTGTATATACACATAGATGAATGTATACATATACATGCACACACACACACACACACACACACGTAGGAAATCGTGAGTTAATACTGATAGCTCCATTTTCAATCCAACATCAGTGGGTTTATTCTTGCTTTCTCCCCTTGCCCTATTTGTAACTTTTTCAACATTGAGAAGGCTGGCTGATTAACCTCCAATATTCACTTACTGGCTCATTCTCTCTGTGTGATCCCAATCTCCCAGTCGTGGGCTGTCTACCCAGCCCTAACCCCACCAACGTGACCAAGATGCTGCCACTTTGGCCCAAGCTGCAGTGAACGCTCTGGCCAACTTCTCAAGGGAGCCTCTAGCCTAGAGAGCAAGCAAGCTCAGTCCCTAGCTGAACCCACAACCAGGCCCTGACCCTGACTCCAGCCCTGCAAAGGAGAAGGGAAAGGAACCACATGACATTGCAGCAGGCCCTTTATGTTGACTCACCGGGCTTACTGTTTGCTCTTCCCTGCCTTCACCTTAGCTTGCTTCTGCTTACCTTTGAGAAGCCAGCTCGTGTGTCAGTTCCTCAGAAAAACTTTACCTGACTAGGTCAGGTTCTCTTATTCTATACTTTCAGCATCATTTTATTCTTCACAGCTTAAAAGAAATACATTTCTTTTAAGAATAGAAATGTTCGAGTTCGATCGGTAGCGGGAGCGGAGAGGGGACCCCAGAGAGCCCTGAGCAGCCCCACCGCCGCCGCCAGCCTAGTTACCATCACATCCCGGGAGGAGCCGTAGCTGCCGCAGCCGGCCCCAGTCACCATCACCGCAACCATGAGCAGCGAGGCCGAGACCCAGCAACCTCCCGCTGCCCCCGCCCTCAGCGCCGCAGACACCAAGCCCGGCAATACAGGCAGCGGCGCAGGGAGCGGTGGCCCGGGCAGCCTCACATCTGCGGCGCCTGCCGGCGGGGACAAGAAGGTCATCGCAAGGAAGGTTTTGGGAACAGTAAAATGGTTCAATGTAAGGAACGGATATGGTTTCATCAACAGGAATGACACCAAGGAAGATGTATTTGTACACCAGACTGCCATAAAGAAGAATAACCCCAGGGAGTACCTTCGCAGTGTAGGAGATGGAGAGACTGTGGAGTTTGATGTTGTGAAGGAGAAAAGGGTGCGGAGGCAGCAAATGTTACAGGTCCTGGTGGCGTTCCAGTTCAAGGCAGTAAATATGCAGCAGACCGTAACCATTATAGACGCTATCCACGTCGTAGGGGTCCTCCACGCAATTACCAGCAAAATTACCAGAATAGTGAGAGTGGGGAAAAGAACAAGGGATCAGAGAGTGCTCCCGAAGGCCAGGCCCAACAACGCCGGCCCTACGGCAGGCGAAGGTTTCCCACCTTACTACATGCGGAGACCCTATGGGCGTCGACCACAATATTCCAACCCTCCTGTGCAGGGAGGAGTGATGGAGGGTGCTGACAACCAGGGTGCAGGAGAACAAGGTAGACCATTGAGGCAGAATATGTATCGGGGATATAGACCACGATTCCGCAGGGGCCCTCCTCGCCAAAGACAGCCTAGAGAGGATGGCAATGAAGAGGATAAAGAAAATCAAGGAGATGAGACCCAAGGTCAGCAGCCACCTCAACGTCGTACCGCCGCAACTTCAATTACAGAGGCAGACGCCCAGAAAACCCTAAACCACAAGATGGCAAAGAGACAAAAGCAGCCGATCCACCAGCTGAGAATTCGTCCCCTCCCGAGGCTGAGCAGGGCGGGGCTGAGTAAATGCCGGCTTACCATCTCTACCATCATCTGGTTTAGTCATCCAACAAGAAGAAATAAGAAATTCCAGCAGTAAGAAATGAACAGAAGATTGGAGCTGAAGACCTTAAGTGCTTGCTTTTGCGCATTGACCAGATAAATAGAACTATCTGCATTATCTATGCAGCATGGGGTTTTTATTATTTTTACCTAAAGATGTCTCTTTTTGGTAATAATAAACGTGTTTTTTAAAAAAGCCTGGTTTTGACCGGGCGCGGTGGCTCAAGCCTGTAATCCCAGCACTTTGGGAGACCAAGACGGGTGGATCACGAGGTCAAGAGATCGAGACCATCTTGGTCAACATGGTGAAACCCCGTCTCTACTAAAAATACAAAAATTAGCTGGGCATGGTGGTGCGTGCCTGTAATCCCAGCTACTCGGGAGGCTGAGGCAGGAGAATTGCCAGGAGGCGGAGGTTGCGGTGAGCTGAGATCGCGCCATTGCTCTCCAGCCTGGGTACAAGAGCGAAACTCCGTCTCAAAAAAAATAAAAAAAGCCTGGTTTTTCTCAATACGCCTTTAAAGGTTTTAAATTGTTTCATATCTGGTCAAGTTGAGATTTTTAAGAACTTCATTTTTAATTTGTAATAAAAGTTTACAACTTGATTTTTTCAAAAAAGTCAACAAACTGCAAGCACCTGTTAATAAAGGTCTTAAATAATAATAATAATAAAGAATAGAAATGTTGATGGAATAATTTGACTAATATCTTATTTCCCCCAATAGTCTTTAAGCTCCATGAGAGAAGTTGGTGTGTTTTCCTTACCATTGTATAGTCTCAGGGTCTAGCACTGTGCCTGGCACTTTTCTTTTCTTTTCTCTTTTCTCTTTTCTTTTCTTGAGATAGGTTACTACTCTCTTGCCCAGGCTGGAGCACAGTGGCGCAATCTCAGCTGACCGCAACCTCTGCCTCCTGGGCTCAAACAAAATCCTCGCATCTCAGCCTTCCAAGTAGCTGGGATCACAGATGCATGCCACCACAATCAGCTAAT